CCTCGTGGCTGCGTTGCGACGGCCTCACAGCTCGAATCATCGCAACGAAACCGACACTAAGTGCGTGCGAAGCACGCACGTGTGTCTAGTATATATATATATATATATATATATATATATGAGCGCGTCCTCCGGACTCTAAGCTCGTGGTATATATATATATATATGTACGTGAATCTGTATACATATATACAGATATGCATATATGTATATATTTATATGCATGTGAACACTTGTATACGTATATATATATATATATGTATATGTATGTATGTACGTATGTATGTATGTATGTATGTATGTATGTATGTATATATATATATATACTCATATGTATATATGCATTTACTTATTAGTAGAAAGTAGACTTTCTATAGTAGGAATTGCGAGTATGGTCTGGGTCCCCCATGCAAGAACTTAGGACACCCTTGGAAAAGAAGGCCAGTCACATGCAGACTCAAATCCCGAAGCAGTATACCTAGATGCAAAGCATGAACATAGTCGTCGCATTCGCGGCAGGAGTAGCAGTAGTAGTAGTAGTAGTAGTAGCAGCAGCAGCAGCAGCAGCAGCAGCAGCAGCAGCAGCAGCAACAGCAAAAGCAGTTACAGTAGCAGTAGGCGGTGTTGGCGGCGGTGGTGCAGGTGGTGCTGCCGTGGCGGTGCCGGTGGCAGTGACGGCAACGATGTTGGTGGTCGGAGTCTATCTGGTGACGTGGCCACCGTAATGGAAACAACAAGTTTTGAAGTTTGCATTGTCAAAGTTTGGCTTTAGGATCTCGGGCTTAGCAGAACTTAGCAGGAGCCTGTGACCGACTCCACATGGAGAATTTTGGATTCGGTTGCTGACAGCCACAAAGCAGCAGTTGAGGGTTGTGTTTCATGTTCGAGGTTGACGGTATGCAGGGCACAAATGCACCAGAATCACCAAACACAGCGCAAAGCCTGTCCCGAAACCCAAGCATCAAATGCTCTACTTGAGCCCCGAACTTCCTGCAAACCTTGGCTCAGAATTCTCTCTGCATCTAAGATGCTGGTAGGGAGGCTAGCTGCTTCAGCTTTTGCCTGCCATCAGAAAGCCGAACGAAGACTCAGCCAGCAATGGGCCAAGACCCTGCTATCTAGCGTTACAGTGTAGGGTGTTTAGGGTTTTGGGCTTCAGCTGTTGGCAGGAACTTCTGAACCAGCTTCACGTGCTTCGGAATCCTTCCTACATTTCCTACGGCTGCCAGCAAACATCTTTTCTCTTCCTCTCGGCCAAGGACGGTGGACGACCAGGCAAAAATTGGGACTATGACGCAGGACCCCAGCCATGCCCAGAGAGGTAGACCATATCACCCCTCCCCCCCCAAACGCCTGAAACCTAAACCCTACACCCCAAACCCTAAACTCTCAACCCTAAGCCGTACATGCATCCCACCGACTCGCCTCTGGACCGGCTTCCTGGGCTGTTCCAGACATCCGGTGCGAAATTAACTTGAGTGGTCTCTAACTTGGGCTTCAAGGTTTCGGTATTTGTGCCCATGATATTCCAGCAAGTGTTCCTGTCCGTGACCCGATTTAAATTTCATGCTTTATGAAATCTGTTTGTGCCCTACTTGCCTCTTAAAGTTCTGCACACTGTAAAACGGACTAACTTTTCGGTGCCCGAGGCTTCGGTAGGGGATCTGCATGAAATTCTAGGGTTGAAAGGGTTCAGGGATTTAGATTTTTTTAAAGGTGCAGGGGCCTTTCTCTGCATGCAGGTCCCAGCCGACCGCTTTCAGGGTGTACACACTTTACCATCTTTCAGACAGGATAGCACAAACTCACAGGTTAAATACCTCAGAACTGCACCCAGACCTCTTGAGCTTTCACCCCACAACTTATATTTAGAACTTCGGGCTTAGGGATGACTGAAGTTTAGGGCCTGGGGGTGTTTGGGTTGCGGGTTGCAGATAAGCACTGGTAGGATACTGTAAACCTCAGGGCTGCCTAATACAGGGGCCTTAATAATTAGACTAGGGTTTAGGGCCCATTGTACTTTCATACTTTAATGCGGAACCCCCAAAATACTATAGTTAATTATTTAGGCCCTTACATTAGTGAAACACCGCTTGCAACATGCATCTTGCACTCTCCGGACAGCACAGAAGATTTTGCAAGTTCATAGAAGGTACACACAAAGGTATACATGTAGATAGAGATATGAGAAAGAGATATGTATGTGCATATATATATATATATATTCCTTTAGTTGTCCATGTATATAGTTGTTCATAAATATAGGTGTAGATGGAAAGATAGCTGGTTCATTGTTTAGATCGATCGAAAATTGATAGAACGATAGACAGATCAGATCTGTTTGATCGACAGATAGACGGACGGATGGATTCATGGATGGATGGATGGCTGGCTGGATGGAAGGATGGATGGACGGAGGGATGGATGGATGGATGGATGGATGGATGGACCTGGATGGATGGGATGGACGGATGCAAGGATCGACGGATAGATGGATGGATGGGTAGCTGGGAAGATGGAAAGATAGAAAGTCTCGAATACAGTAGATTACGTAAGACTAGACTAGACTAGACGAGACACGACTAGATTAAGATAGAGATGAAACTCAAAATCCGGTGCAAGCAAAGTTTAAGCAAAGACAAGATACAGACAAAGATGAATAACAAATTAGTATCAATACTCAGCTTAAGATTAGGACCCGGACAAGAGAGGATGCTACAAGATAAAGATCGGCCAAAAGATAAGGTTGGATACTACGAGATAAGATATATGCTAAGATAGATAAGGTGAGGACAAGACAGAGATAACACAAACTAGAAAACGGTAAAATACAAATTAAAATTTCATAACGTATAAGCTACGATAAGACAAGATAAGATAACATACGATGCGATAAGATAGACCAATGATTAATAGATCGGGAGGCGGATCGATGGAACGATGGATGGATGCATGGAAAAAAATGGAGCAGACGAATGGAAGACCAACAGGTAGTACAGAATACCCTTTTTACAGCAGGCCTCGTACACAGCAGCCCGGTCCCCAGCACACTCGCGCACTGTAAGGCGAGAATCGACACTGAGATCTCTCTATACACTATCTGGCGGATATTTATCTCCACATCTGAGTACAGCTTGAAATCTTCACG